GGGTGAGGGGGGGGTGGACCTATTCGGGGCAGGGACTAAGTTCTGGTTCAAGGCATCTGCAAGGTTTCTGCTATGGGGGAGCTATGGGGGAGAAGAGGCAGGTGGAAGAAGAACCACACCCAAATCAAACTCTGCCATCTGGTCAATTCTGACACAGCGACCCCAAAGGGATGTGTGTGCAACTGCCTGTTAAGTTTCTGAGACTGTTCACTCTTTTTACAAGAGCAGAAAGCCTCGTCTTTCTCCTGAGGAGCACCTGGTGGTTTTGAACTGTACACCATGCAGTCAGCAGCCCTACTCACAACCACTATGCCACCACCACTCCTGGAAGGAGAGCCTAGGTCAGAAATACTGTCCCTCCAGGACTCAAATCCCCAGGCACATTTCTGCTTGGGCCTCAGAGAAGAATTCTGTGTTCTGACCATTGGTCAAAAATACCTAGACAGATCTCAGAGCTTTTCTTTCCAAGACATATTCTAGACTTTTATTCCAGATCCCCCTTAAAGGAGCCAGTTTGACATGCTTTCCCCATTTCCTGCAGACACCCCACTCCTTCCTCCCACCCTTCACAGACACCCCAGGAGCACGTGCTATTTCATTCGCCTTCCTTTTTAACCCCCTTTCCCCTTATTCCTTATAGACACATACACATACATACACATTTGGTACACACAAACACACACACACATACACATATAGTCAAATCCCACACATATAATAAAATTTCATATATATTTCTAAAACGTTCACAGATGTATCTTTCTAATTTTTAGTTATCACTAAAAATAACTAAATTAATCTTTAGTCTTCAGGGGTCTCAGGAGCTCCAGATTCTACACCAGGGCTCATCTGATAGCCCATGGCCTCATCATGGTGGCCCCGACTGGAAGATAAATCCTACTCAATTGCCAACTTCAGGACAACCCCCCCCACCCCCACCAAGGAAAGAGACGGGGTGTTCCTTCTACCATTCTCACTATGCTATAGTAAATAGGCCCATTGACTTGACCTGAGGATTCACCCACCATGTTTTACTGAGGAGCCCTAGTGGCGCACTGGGTTGCTAGCCTGAAGGTCAGTGATTCAAACCCACCAGCCACTGCCAGAGACAGGTGTGGCACTCGGCTTCCATAAAGATTACAGCCTAAGAAAGCCTATGGTCAGTTCTACTCTGTCCTCTTGGGGAACTATGAATTGCAATCAACTCAACAGTTGTAGGTCTGGTTGTGTGTGTATGAGCGTGTGTGCACACGTGCATGCGTGCGTTTTTATTGGTTTAGGGCCATACCTATTACCCAAGAGAAATGTCTCTTGCAGACATAGTTGTTACCAAACTAATGTATTTTTCAATTTTCTCTAAAAATTCAACACTAAAAATTATTTCTAAAATTTCCCTTGGCCTGAGGATTCCCACTCCTATAATTTAGAACAACATACAGTTATTAGTGCTAAGTTGGAAGTGCATGTTTAGCCCTGGAAGCCTTTTCTGTCTGATGAAGATCTTGGGATTTGTATAATTACTATAATTCTGTGATTAAAAACATCTCAGCTTTGGTGTTCAGGCACCTTGCTGTTTTTAATGAAATCTCTCAGATGAACTCATTACATCCAAGTATTAAATTACCAGTGAAGGCATGTTATCACACTATTCCACCCCGTTAAAGACTTACTTTAAGTGAGTTGTCATTAAAGACAAAATAAGCAAATAAAAAAATTAAAATGCAACAGTCAACACAATTTATTGTGCTGTGAGAATTTAAAGCACACAATCTTTCTGATAGACTTTTTAATGAAAAAAAATCTCTATTCGCAGAACACATTGAAAACCATGTCGGTAAACTGAAGCAATATATATCAGTTAAGGCCAAAATAAAAACAAAAGAACCCTTAAAACTGTAAAATATATGTGTGTGTGTGTCTGTGTGTGTGTGTGTATAATTTTGTATTCCATAAGTCACTTAAAAATCTGAGTATTCACTAGTATAAGTCTCAGCAGGTGTCAGTCTTGCATTCGTTGGGATGTAACAGAAGGAAAAAAAGATGTTTTAGAACAAAGTACTTTTTAAAAGAAATAATATAAAGCCACAGAAATTGCTGCGCAGGAAGCAGTGGTTCATTTCTCCTTTTACATAACAGGGCTGATCGTGTATGTCAGAAACCAAACTGCACCCCTTAATGACAGCCTAATTTTCAAAAACAATTCCAGCCATTCATTTAAACATGAATCACAACAGGAAGTGTCTATACTGGCGAGCGGGAGATCTTCAGGAAACTTTAGACTCTTCATTTGGCAGCCCTGCCAACCCCTCTTAAGAGAAGATGTCACTTTACAGCTTGGCCACACTCAAGGAAGAACAGAGGTGCAGTCAGACCAGGAAGGTACACTGCGATCAACCTCTCTGTGCAGAGATACTGGGAAAATGAAAGAGTTAACATGGATAAAATGTTTACGGATTTGCAGATGGGAAGCACCATGTAATTTACCAAGCACTATTACAAGATAGAGATGACAGTGAAAATACAGCTTTATCTAATCACAGCAGCATTGAGCTACTATTTTTAAAACTTAATAAAGGCACACAGATTTTTAGGCTAGCTTAGTGTCTCGAGGCGGTTGGGGGCAGATAAAGATGCAGAGGAAGAGAGAGCTCCTGTCTGTTGGTTACTAAATTCAGGGCACACCGGAGGGCAGAGAATAATAGTCCTAATTTTTGACTAAAATACTCTATGCTCCAATGGGGTTTATTGTGACTTAAAATTTTAAATAGGAATACTATCGTCAATACTATCCTGTCCCTGTCTAGACCCC